TTCTTAGTTGGTGGAGCGATTTGTCTGGTTAATTCCGATAACGAACGAGACTCTGGCATGCTAACTAGTTACGCGACCCCCGAGCGGTCGGCGTCCAACTTCTTAGAGGGACAAGTGGCGTTCAGCCACCCGAGATTGAGCAATAACAGGTCTGTGATGCCCTTAGATGTCCGGGGCCGCACGCGCGCTACACTGACTGGCTCAGCTTGTGCCTACCCTCCGCCGGCAGGCGCGGGTAACCCGTTGAACCCCATTCGTGATGGGGATCGGGGATTGCAATTCTTCCCCGTGAACGAGGAATTCCCAGTAAGTGCGGGTCATAAGCTCGCGTTGATTAAGTCCCTGCCCTTTGTACACACCGCCCGTCGCTACTACCGATTGGATGGTTTAGTGAGGTCCTCGGATCGGCCCCGGCGGGGTCGGCCCCGGCCCTGCCGGAGCGTCGAGAAGACGGTCGAACTTGACTATCTAGAGGAAGTAAAAGTCGTAACAAGGTTTCCGTAGGTGAACCTGCGGAAGGATCATTACCGGGGGCGAGTCGCGCGGGCGACTGGCCGCTCACACCCACCCGCCCTGGGCGCCGCGCGCCGAGGGGGCCCCGCGGGGGGCCCCGGGCGCGGCGCGGGCTTCCTTTCCGCTACCGTTTCCGCTATGGGCCGCTGCCCTTCGGGGCACGCGTGCCCCCGCGCGCCGCGAGAAGCGGGGGCCCCGCGCGGGGTCCCCGTCAAGGCGCGCGGCGGGTCCCGCGGCGGCGGCGGCGGTGGCGCGCGCTGGTTGTCGGGGCTCGTCGGCGCGGGTGCCGCGTTCCACCCTCCCCCCCTCCTGCCGGAGGCCCCGGGAAAGGGGCGCGAAGGGAGGAGAGGGGGGGGAGCGGTTCTCCCGGCCCGCGCCGACGCCGCTGCCGCGCGTGCTTGCCGCCGATCCGCCGCTGGGGCCCGGCGCCGATCCGCCGCCGGGCCGCCCCTGCGGAGGGGGACGGCCGGCTCGGGCCTCGCCGCCGCGGCCGGCGCCGCCGAACGCCGGCGCGCGGTTTCCCGCGCCCGTGCCCGTGTTCGCCCGTGCCCGGCTCCAGCGCGAGCCGCGTGGTGCGTGCGGGGAGGGGAGGGCGTTCCCGCGGCACGGGGCCCCTCCCGGAGGCGCTCGCTGTCGTCGTCTCTCTCGCCGGCTGCCGGCCCGCCTGGGCCGCCGCCGTCGCCTCCGTCGCTCGTCTCCTGATGCGCGCGCGCGCGCGCTGCGCTTCTTTGCACGGTCGGTGCGGGGGCCGCCAAGCGCTCCCCCCCACGCCGTGCCGCCCCCTGCTTCTCGCCTCGGCTGGGCTCCGCCGCTGGCGGGCGTCCGGCTCCGGGCACCCGAACCCCCTCTCCGCCACGGCCTTGCCCGACGGCAGTCCGCTGCCGCCACCGGGGAGGTGCGTGGGGGGTGTGGCGGCTGAGGGCCGTCCCGGAGCGCCAGGGCACCGCCGGTCCGAGCGCGAGCGGCGGCGCGTAGGGGGAAGAGGGGGTGGTCGCTGGCGTGTGAGGGGTGCGCGGAGGCGCGAACCCCGGCCGGCCGAGCGGAAAAGCCCCCGGCGCTCGGGCGCGCGCAGGAGAGGGAGAGGGGGCTATCGGCGCGAGCAGTGGCGGTGGCGGGCTGGGCGCGGCCGGCGCCAGCCCGGCGAGAGAGGGGCGGCGGGCAGAGCAGGCCTCGCCTGGGTCGGGGGAGGCGTCTCCCCCGATCCTCCCTGCCCGCACCGTGGCGGGCTTGCTGCGGAGCAAGCCCGCCGGGGCCGGCCGGCCCGCGGGCGGGCGAGGTTTCCGCGCCGGGCCGTGTCCCGCGCGCCAGCGGGCGGCCCGAGCCACGGCTCTCCTCCCGGGCGCAGCGCCGGGCTACTGAGGGAAACCTCGGGCCCCGGGCCAGGAGGGACGTGGTGGTGGCGGTGGATGTCGGGCGCGCCCCCGCGGGCGGACGCTCCCCCGATGGCGGCAGCGGGGGAGGCACCCCCGCGGGGCCCTTGAGGACGTTTCCCTCACCCCAGGGCCAGGTACCTAGCGTCCGCGCCTCCGCGGCCCTCCCTCGGCTGAGCCCGGGGGTCGAAGGCCGCGGAGCCGGGCGGAGGTTTAAAGACTCGGGCGGCTCGGTGCGACCCGCGGGGGGCGGGCCCCGGCCGTGTGCGGCGGTTGAGCCTCCAGGGGCGGGAGTCGCTCTCGTGCAGGCCCTGGACACGGCGGCCGCCGCCCACGCACGCTGTGGGCTTGTCCCCTCGGGCGGCCGCGCCGGGGAGGGGTGTCCCCCCTGCCCCCCCTTCTCCGCGGTCCGGTCTCGGCGGCGAGACCGGCGGCGTTTGGTCGGCCGCAGCCGGCCTGCCTCGCCCTCGAAGAGGCGAAGGGGAAACCCCCCCCCCGGCGGGGAGCGCGGGCTCTCTCGCCGTCGGGGGGCGATGGCGATTTCCCGCGGTCGGGGTCTCGCCGGGCGGGTGGCCCCCTCGGGCCGCCGCGTCTCCGTGCACGCGCAGTGGGGCGCGCTGCGGCTTCGCGCTCCTGGTTCTCCCACCCCCACCCCTTCCCGCCCCGGCTGAGGGAGGGGCGGCGCAGCCCCCCCCCGGGCCCGAGCGGCGGCGGCGGCGCCGCCGCTCGGCGTTGTCGGCCGGCGGCTGCTCGGTGGCCGGCCGCGTGGCCGTCCCGTCCCGGGCCCTGCCCGTCGCTTCGCAGTCGCCTTTCCCGGTCTCGGTCAGGCGAGGCGGGTGGGCGGCCGAGGGGCGTTCCCCGTCCCGTTCTCCGCGCGGAAGCGGGGAGAGTGGGCGTCGCCCCCGGCTCAGCGGCGTCCGCCTTCTGCCTGGCGCGTGTCTGCGGAAGGGGCCGAGACGAGAAGCGGCGGCGGCGGCTCCGGGAGGGCAGCCGCTGCGGTGCGGCGGCCGGGCGGCGGTCGGGCGGAGCGCCGGGCGGCGGCGGCGGCGTCGCGTCGCCGTCTCGGGTTCCGGAGGTTGGCCGTCCGTCCCTCTCTCCGGTGTTGGCGCGGCGGCGGCGCCGCGCGGGCGTTCCCGGCGTCGGGGCGAGAAGCCGGGGTTTCGGGGCCACGGGGGGAAAGGAGCCGGCTGTCGCAGCGCGCGGCGCTGGGCGGCGCGGAGGAGCGCGCGGCGCGAGCGGGGGCGCCCCCGCTGGTCGCCCGCGCGGCGGTCAGCGTCTGTGTTTTTCCCCTCACGGCGAGCGAGAGGCGGGTGCAGGTTGGGCGCGCGGTCGGACGCGCCGCCGGCCCTCCGTGCGGAGGCCGGGCCGAGCCCGGGCGCCTGGGCCGCCTCCGAAGCGAGCAAGGTGCTTGTTCCGTGTTTGCCCAGGTCGGTCGGGAGCGCGGGCTCCCCTGGGCCCTTGCCGTTCGGAGCTCGTCCCACCTTTTTCCCAACTTCCTTCCTCCCCTCCGTTGTGGTGTCGGTACGGTCATCCGAGGCGAGGCGCGACCGTCGCCCGCCGGTCGTCGGCGTGCCCCTCTCCGCGCGTGCGGAGGGGGGGCGGTCGGTCGGTGGGTGGGGCGGCGGTCCGTCGTCCGAGAGGGGGCCGCTTTTGCGGAGCGGTCCCGGCCCCTCCGCGCGCGCGGGGCGGTGCCGAAAGGCAGACAACTCTTAGCGGTGGATCACTCGGCTCGTGCGTCGATGAAGAACGCAGCTAGCTGCGAGAATTAATGTGAATTGCAGGACACATTGATCATCGACACTTCGAACGCACTTGCGGCCCCGGGTTCCTCCCGGGGCTACGCCTGTCTGAGCGTCGCTTGACGATCAATCGCCGGCCGGTGCGCCGTCCCTCCCCGCTCCGCCCCGCCTCGGCGGGCGGGCGGGCGGGCGGCGTCCGCGGCGGCGCGGCTGGGGTGCCTCGCAGGCCCGTCGGTGTCGGCCGAGGGCCTTCGTCCCCCTAAGTGGAGACTCGGGGAGCGCTCCGAAGCTCCCCGCTCCCGGAACGCCCGCTTGGCGGAGTCTCGTCTCGCCGGGGCCGGGCGGCCCGTTGGTTCGGTCCGGCCGGGCCGGGCGCGGCGGTGGGGAAGGGCCGAGGTGTCGGGGGGGGGAGAGGCGCGGGCCTCTTCCCCGGCCTCCTCCCGCGCGGGCGGCTGTCTGCGGGTGGGTACCGCGGTGGTACCGTGCCGTGCTGCCGCGCGCGTGCGGGCGTGCGCCGTGGGAACGGGGGTCCTCCCCGTCGCCACTCGGCCCCCCGCCCTCTTCTCCCTTCCCCGTCGTAGCCGCCGCGCCCCGGGCGGCGGAGGCCGGGGGTGCTCGTTGGCGGGGGATGTCGCGGCGGCGGCGGCGGCGGCGACGGTTCGGGGGTTTGCGGCTGCGGCGGCGACCGCGCGTGCGGTCGGCGTCGGG